AGGGTCTGGCTCCTCCTCCCTCCAGCGCCTCCCCCGCCAGCGGAGCCACCATCTTGACCCCGCCCGCCTCGGCCGTTGCTGCCGTTGCGAGGCCCGGAGGCTGCGCCCGCCCCCGCCCCCGCGGCCGCTCGAGAACGCGGAAGCCGCTACGTCACAATCGGGCGCGCCGCCCGTGCGTCAGCGCGCGCGACCCAGCCGGCCGGGGAGCGGAGCGGAGAGGCGCGGCCGTTGCCATGGCTCCCGCCCGCCCGCCCTGCCGCGCCCAGCCGCCGGGTGGCGCTCGCCCGGGGACGGGCGGGGCGGAGGGACAGGCGGGCACCGCCGCGCGCTCGCACGGGGGACTGTCACCGCGGGCGGGCGTGCACCTGGCCCGGGGAAGCCGCGCTCCCGAGCACCCGTGGTTACTAGAAGCTTTCGCAGCCGCTGAGCATCCCGGCAGCTCGCTGCGCCCGGCTGCAGAGAGGGAAAGCCGGAGGCCGCCGCCCTGCCGCGCACCTGCCCGCCTCTCTCCGCCAGAAGGCAGGGACTCACGTACCTGCGACAGCCGCCGCAGCCTGAATGGACACTGGCCCGGGGGCGGTAGCGGTGCCATGGAAAGCACCCTCTGTACACGCGTCTCCATTCCCGTCCGCGTGGACAGAACTCAGGACGGTCGGGAGCACGTTTCGGTCATGGCTTAGGAGCCTGACTTAAGAGCAAGGACCGCGGCCCCTCTGGGTTCTTCGGTTTACCCCCTCGTCCTTAGGGTAAGCGTTTCTGGATGATCCTTAACGAGAGCAGATGAGACCATTCTCTGGCGCTTTTTTGCCTGCCAGGGGAGTTGGTACGGCCTGGCCGTTGTCACTCTGTTCCTTCTCCAGCAAATGAGTGTAAGGTCAGAGACTCAACGGTAGACTTAGCTGTTTTAGTTTAAGGAACACAAAATAGCAAAGAAGAGGCGTGGATGAATTGACTCTTAGCGCAAAGTGTTCTAGTTTACTGCAAGGCTCCAGAAATAGGACCTCCGCCCAACCCTGCCCCGCACAGGGAGGAGGTCTGTAAGCAAAATTATCAGACTTAAGCAGAACCCCTTTGGGTGAAGGTTTTTGTAGTAGAAAGACTGCACCCCCACTCCGTGTCCGAATTGTAGTCTTGTGTTATTTTTGTTTTATCGCCCTCCCCACTCCCATCTGTGTCCTGTTTACTGTATACGAGGCACGGTGGCCACGGTTTTATCTTCTACCGAAGCCACTATGTCAACTGTTACGTTGGATATTAGTTATAGAGGATGCATTTTTGAGGGTTAGATAAAATGAACTGCAAGATTGTGAAGGTACTTAGAGAAGGGCTGTGTATGTCCCATACTAGTAAGAATCAGAAAAAGAATCTGAATCCAGTGCTACCTTAAAGCTCAAAGCAGTTTGATCTGTTTCCCCTTCCTGTTGCCACTGTCGCCACCCTAACTCAAGACCCCTTTGTTGTTTTTTGGTTTGTTGTAATACTCTCACAAAGTCGCCACCTTTTCAGATCTGGTCTCTTTGCTAAGGATCGGTGCATAGTTGGGGAATAAGCCTGTGGCTATGACAGATTTCCCAAAGGAGAGCAAACTCAGTGGGGGGGGGGGGGATGACACAGCCTTACCTGTGGAGTTGGGGGTTAAATCGGCTGCTCCACCCTCTCTCATTATGCCTTAAGTGTAATTAAAGTCAAAGGAGTAGAGCTATTGTGGAGAAAAGGGTCCCAAAACACTAAAAGTACAAATGTGGTAGGAGAGAGAGGTAGAGTATATTATGATCATATAAAGTAGAGAATAAAATATAATCAAAGAACAAAGTTTAATACACGCCTAGCTTGCTGCTTAAGAAGGGTGGTGTCTGTATCCAAACTGACACCCAAACAGTATACATAGAATACCCCTGTTCAGAGATAACACTGTGTCACTAATGATGCCGAAGCCTTTTAGTAGCTCTCGTTGTGTAGCTCACGCTGGCCTGGAACGGATATGTAGACCAGGCTGGCCTCACACTCATCTCACGTACGATCCGCCTCTGTCTGCCTCCCAAGTTCCGGAATTACAGATGCTTTAAAAGCGGGCCGTGGGAAACGACGTTAACTTTTCTCTGGATGTCCATCAGTCAAGCCTTGTCAAGCAAAGAAAAAGAAAGACCCTTGGCTGTCAGAAGGAAATTTCTAGAGTCCCCTGGCATCCTTAGGCGACGGGAACAAAGAAACAAGCACCCCCACTTCCTCCCCCAGGCCCCCACCCCTACCAACAAGGTATTACACATTTCCTTTCAATGGAATTGATAGTTAAAATACTATAACTCCTACGACCTTGAACTGCTTTAAAATAACAGTCTCTGTCCCTGTACTGGCTGGTTTTGTGTATCACTTTGACCCAAGCTTGAGTCATCAGAGAGGAAGGAGCCTCAGCTGAGGAAATGCACCCATGCGGTCCAGCTGTGAGGCATTTTCTCAATTAGTGATCGATGGGGGAGGGCCCAGCTTGTGGTGGATGGAGCCATCCCTGGGCTGGGGGTCCTGGGTTCTGTAAGAAAGCCATGGGAACAAGCCAGTAAGCAGTGTGGCCTCTGCATCAGCACCTGCCTCCAGGTTCCTGCCCTGTTGAGTTCCTGTCCTGACTTCCTGTAGTGGTGAACAGCAATATGGGGAAGTGTGAGCTAAATAAACCCTTTCCTCCCCAACCTGCTTCTTGGTCATGGTGTTTCCCTGCAGCAATAGAAACCCTGACTAAGAAAAACTCTAATTTGTTTTCTTGAGTTTTCTCTTTTCTTTAAAACGGAATTCAGATGTGTCCATCAGAATGCAACTGGTCACGTTTCTGGTTTTGTAAAGCCAAATAGACTTTCTGTAGTTAAAAAGGAAGTGTCAGGGTTGATAGTGGCGTTCCGGGAGTATGTTGAATATCCATTGCCTGACATTTGGTTATTCCTCAGCCAGCATTTCCTGAGCATGGTATGTGATCAGATTTGCAGCTCATATTTTTCTTTCCAGGACATGATTGTTCTCCTGCAAGTGATTTCATGTTTTATTTTCACAAGAATTTAAACCAAGCTGAGTGTGGTGGCATACACCTCTAATTCCTGGACTAAGGAGGCAAGCGGATCTCTGTGTGAGGCCAGTTGGGGCATAGTGAGACCCTAGGTCAACAAACAAAATGTAAAGTAATTTATAGGAGTGTGTGTGTGTGTGTGTGTGTGTGTGTGTGTGTGTGTGTGTGTGTGTTAGAGCATTTCCCTAGCATGCACAGCCTCTGGGAATGAATGATCACTACCACCACAAAAATACTGAAAATAAAACAAGAGCAAATATTCTAAGTAGTAATGGTGTGTTATAAATAAATCTCAGGGGAAATATTCATTGGAGCTACTGCTATTCCAACACTCTTTCTGATATTCCATTTTGGTAAAGATATTAGGTTTGTTATAGATGGTAGCCATCCAGCAGAGCCCAGTGTAGATTAGAATAGAAATGAATGATTAAATGTTAGTCTAGGTCATGATCAACTGTAATGTGAGAGGTAAGATAACTTCTGAGAAGGAGAATACAGGTGATACTTAGTTTGAAATTGTGTCAAGGTGGAAAGCTCACAGTAGACTATGATCATGCATTCCATAATGATAGGATACATACTCAGAAACTTTGCTAGGAAATTTCATGATTGTGCAAACCCAGCCCAAACTGAGGTATCTGTGTTGTTGCCAAATGCTATACTCTGTGTGTGTGTGTGTGTGTGTGTGTGTGTGTGTGTGTTTGGGGGAGTGTTTCAAAACAGGGTTTCTCTGTGTAACAGTCCTAGCTGTCCTGGAACTTGCTTTGTAGATTAGACTGGCCTTGAACTTACAGAGAGTTTAAGAAGCCTTGCTCCAGGGGCAATTTCCCTAGTTAGGGCTGTGCTGAAGCTGTCCACGGTTAGCACTATGTTTTAACATTGTTTTAGGGAGAAGGGAATAGGGTAAGTTAAAATGCTTCTCCATTTATTACAATTTAATTGTTTGTCTTGAATAAATGCTTCATCAGATTATTGCTCACTTTGACAGTGTGGACAGTATTGTACTGTGCTTTTATGAAGAAGATATTTCTGGCATTCTGGAAGCTGACCATTTACTCCTGGCATTGGGTAGGAGACGTTCATGAGGCTGCTAATGCACATGGTAGGTATGCAGCATATCCTTGCAGTCGCCAGGCACTAACCTCCAGGGCTTCAAAGTGCATCAAAACAGTTCCACGTGACCCTCGGCTATTAGCCACCCCGGCTAACACATGGTTTGGAAATTGCAGGATATTTCCTACCTATAGTAGCAATAGCTGCTACTGCTGCTTATACATAAGTCTCTGTTGTATGTGGGGGTGGGGGGTGGACTGAAACCAGTAAGTACTTACTCTACAGTGAACTTCATTCCAGCTCTCCCTGCATCTCCTTGTCCAGGGAAAGAGGATGAAGTCTACGGTTTAAGGACTAGGGTTATCCTTGAGTTTACAGCCAGCATCCTGCCTCAGCCTTCCAAGTGCTGAGATTACAGGTGTGCATTACAGCACCGGGACAGAGAAATATTTCTTAACCCTCCTTAAAATAAAAAGACCTAATATATAAGACCCTCCCCACCCTGTTATGATATAGCGAGAGGGGGACCTTGGCGGACTCCAAGGCAAGCAACGGTGACTGAAGCAGAGGGACAAACACTCCAGGCAGACAGAACTTAGAAGTTTTATTAGAAAGGGGAGGGTGCGGGGGAAAGAGAAGAGAGACACAGTGAGGGCAGAAGAGGGAGACAGGAAAAGCCCTGAACGCTCCACAGGAACAGAGCGAGTGAACGGAATGAGAGCATAAGTGGATGGGGGTCTTTTTTTAAAACGGGTCCTTTGCACCTGGGTTGACCAGAGTACTGCCTGAGTGCATTCTGCCAGGTGACAGGGGTGGCCAGCGTAATGCCTGAGTCCTTACAACTCCCACATACATACACTCTATGAGGCGCTCCAGAGGACCAGAGTTACTTCCATTAACTGTCCCCTTCCTATTGTAATGTAGTCACAGTAACAAAGCACTATCATATCAAGGCTTTCATTTGGAGCTCATTATTTGTTTCCATTGATTTTATTTTCCAAACCCATCTATATTTTTTTCATTTCCCCATGGCTGCCACCCCAGTGCAAACCATTATCACGTTGTGCCCGAACAAGTACAGAACTTGTGTGGAACTGGACAAGTTCCTCACTGGTCTCCCTTTTTGGATCTTGGCTCTCTAGTTGCTTTCTCGTGCTGAAGCTAGTGACCTGTGGCAACAGTACTAACAGTAAATCAGTATTTCCCTCAGTAATCAATCTGTATCTGACTTACTAGAAAGAAGCCACACGATCCAATTCTTGCAAGGAAACCCAATGTACAAATAAATACGACCAGATGAATATTAAGACCATATATACCCACTGAGAATTAAGGTAAAATGCAGAATTCGTGACTGCACAAATGGGTCCATTTTAATGAGCCATGCTGTTTTCCTCTGATACTTTAACGTGTTCTCGGTGTGGTTATCAGAAAATATATATATATATATTTGGACTGGTCTGGAGTTCCTTTTTAGGCCACACACCATTTCAAACGAGCACCAGGAAACAAAGGGTGAGAACTCAGCCCTAGCCGAAGCAGTAAGGGCCACATATTTGGCTTTATTGTGTCCCCGAATCTACCTCTTGTATCCAACTAGAGGACAGGGCGGCATTCCAGATCCAGGACTATGTGATCCACATGTGGGGCGTACGATTTCACCGGGTGGACACGCAGGATCCTTGTCCTCCACAGCTTCCCATGCACTTGATGAAGAAGAGAGGCGATCTGAGTTTCTGCAGACTCTGCCCAGCTTTCCCACTCTGGTCTGATGGCTGATGACAGCATCTCGCCCCCAACATTCCCAGCCCTTCCACTTCCCCGTTCACCAGGGACAATTCCCTGGGGATTCTTTCCCGAGAAAGACTCCACATTTTGGTGGATATGCAGAATTCCCCCGACATCCTTCCGAAGCACTTGGCAGGCAACGGGCCAGCCTTCTTGAGAGCTGGGAATCAGCCCCAGGTTCACCCTATCTGCAGTATTCGAGAGCTGCAGCTTCCTGTTGTCTCCGAAGTGTATTTGGCACCGGTCTGCCACGCCGTTGATCTCCAAATTTTTCCTGAGAGCAAGTGCAGCATGCGGGTTCCATTCGCAGGCATGGACGAAGGCAGCGCCAGCGTGGACTAGGAAGGGCAATGTAAAATAACCAATCCCCGCATAGAGGTCCACCAGCACTTCCCCAGCACAGGACAGCGATGCCACTCGGAGTTTCTCAGTGATGTTCCCGAAGGAAAACATGCACTGCGTCACATCAAACGTGTACCGGATGCCGTTATCCGTGTGCTCTACCCAGCCATGGTCACCCAGCAGCAGGGTCACCGACGGAGTTCGGGTACCATCCGGCAGCACCCGCCCTCGTTTTGCCAAACGTCGAACTCCGAGGGCCGAGGCCACAGCGTCCCAGAGCTCTGGTTCCAGACTTCTCCACGGCTCGGCTGGGAAACAGTCTTCACCGAGCAGCATTAGGTCACCGTGCCGTTGCCAGGAGCGGGGCACACCTGCCTCCAGGTCAGCGGACCACGCCACTCCCCGGTCCTCCGCCCAGCGCCTCAGCTCACGACACAGCCTCTGCGCGGGCGAGCAGACCCGGGCCTTCTTGGAAGGCAGGGGATGGAGGAGCCGCGTCAGCATGCAGGTGCTGCCTGGGGCCACGCGATCCCTCAGCTCCCGCACGTGCCGCTCCGCCAAGGCGCCGGCAAGCACCGGCAGCGCCACCGTGCCATCCCGCAGCTTCTGCACGCGGTGCTGCCAGTCCAGGAGTTGCTGCTTCTCGAGGTAGTCCCTGTATCTCTGGGCAAACCGCGGCTCGGTCACCACGGCGACAACTGCAGACTTCTCGCCCTCCCTCTCCATGCGGCTCGTGCGCGCATCTCTTCCGTGCCCGCAGCCAGAACCTCCCGAGCCCGCCCTCCGCCTGCCCGCCTGCCCGCCGCTCCAACCGGCAGAGGTCTGCGCTCCCCGCCGCGGCGCGCCGGAAGTGACGCCAACAGACGGGCCGGATCTAGATGTGTTACCGCAACCAGCTACTAGAATCTCGGACGCTGTGTGAAGCCGCGGCCGCCATGTTTGTTATGGTCCGCCAGTACTTGCTTCCTCTTAGGAAAATCAGTTAACTCTATGGACCAAAAGTTATGAATTGAGTCGATACGCTCCCAGACCTTTATACACCCTCTTTATGGATGCTCATAAAACAGTGACTTAGCAATGATGGATTGAATTTACAGAAAGGCTTCCAGTAATTTACTGTTGCTCAAAAGTTACCATCAGGAGCCGCCGTATGGAAATGTGATAGGGTTCCCAAGTTCCCTTTTCTTGCAAACATGTGGATTACCCAGATCAACTTCAGAGCATTGCTGTTGTGCGTTGAGATGCTCGGAGGGTAAACGAGCGTTTGCCACCAGGCCTGACGACCAGAGATTCCCCAAAACGCACATAGTGGAAGGAGGGAACCAAACCCAGGTCTTCTGAAAATCATCAAGTGTCTTGGTCGCCGAATCTCCCCTCCTCCCCTCCCCTTACACAAACATTCTATAGTACATGTTACCCATACCACAGTCTTTATTCAGAAATGCTTAGGTACCTAGTACTGATCCTAGCAAGGGGCCTTCTTTTATCCTTTATCCCCACCACACACACACACACACACACACACACACACACACACACACACACACACACACTCTCCTACCTCACTTCTGTGATTACCTTATTGCACAGAAAGTGCATATCTGCTGTTATTTCATGATATCTCTCAGACATGAGGCAGTAGATATCGCCTGGGAACTGCATTCTTCCCTTTCCATAAGACAAACCCATATTCCATATCATTGTGTAGAACTTGACAGTCAAAGCCTTTTCGTTTAATTCTGGCTATTTTTCCCCAAAGAGGGTTGGTTTGTTTCCAAGAGCTAGGGAGTGGAGCGCGATTTTCTATCGTCATCATCATCATCATTATCATCGTCATTATTGTTATTGTCATTATTATTTCACGAACATTGCCACACACAGTTGGTCATAAGGTATTTATAAAAAGGATGCATAAGTGAACAGATAAATGAATGTCTAGATGGATAGAAGAAGTTCTGAAAGAAAATTACTTCAGAGTTCGAGGGTTTTAGTTCCAAAGTATTGCCGCTAGGGGGCAGCAATAGCCATCACAGATGCAGTCGAAACCCCAAAGTCTTGGATGGTTTGAATGTCTAAGGCTCCTTAAGGATCAACCCTTCCCACTGGCCTCATTCGACACCACTAGATGCTCTTTACTGACATGGGCTACACAGGTAAGTGTAGCTCTTTCCAGGAATGCATTAATAAAAATGAGTACGTTCATAGATTCCTTTGCATGATAAAATGCAAAGCCCTGTGAGTAGAGGCGCCAAACTCCTACGTAACAGTTGTAGTACCAGGTGATGCCACTAGGTGGCATGCATGTAGCGCTCTCTCTCCATAGCCAGAGACCAGGAGAATGACTTCTCAGAGTGGGCTATTTTGCTTTCAGGGACTATAACAATCTTCCCTGGATGAAATAGAAGCAAAGGCTTAACCAAAAGTGAGCCAAGTAGTGGCGGCACACTCCTTTAATCCCAGAAGTTGGAAGGCAGTGACGTATCCCTGTGAGTTCGAGGCCAGCCTGGTCTACAGAGTGAGTTCCATGACGGCCAGGGCCACACAGTGAAACCCTGTCTCTAAAAACAAAACAAACAAGCCAATCATTGTGCTGTGCTGCCCACTCCTCCCCCTGGCCAGCTTTCATTAGGGGAGGTAACCCTGTAGAGGCTGTTGGCAGTTTGAAAAGCAGATTTAATTTTGGTTTAGTGCAGCTTGCAGCCATCCCCCCCCCCCCCATGTAGCTAAGGCTATTCGACCGCAGTAATATTTCCAAGCTAGCTTAAAACTCACTTGACGTCTTGGCTGGAAAGTTCGAGGCCACATGTCTTATGATCTCATAAATGTGTTGTATGGCGCTGAACCCTAGAAGGAGGGGAGACTAGGTTTCAGAATTAAGGGGATATTAATTAGAGTGTAGAAAATTCTTTGAATTTTGAGACATGTAGAGTTCTTGAAAATATTTATTTTCGTGTGTGTGCATGTGGGTGGCCTGAAAGGCCAAAAGAAGGTGTCAGACATTTCCTAGCTGGAGTTACAGGCTGCTTTGAGCAGCTTGATTTGGGTGTTAGGATCTGAATTGTGGTCCTCTGGCGGAGCACGATGCATCTCTCCGGCTCCAGCACCCAAAGCTGCTGTCAGCTGTTCTGGGCATGTTTGCCCTAAGGATGCTGGGAGAGGGTCTGAGCTTTCACTGCCCTCTTTTCTGCTAGCTCAGGGGTTCACCCATGCAGTAGAGTGACCTCCTCTTGGCCATAGAGGTTCTAGACACTCAGCCACAGCGTTTGCAGTGAGCATTGGCTGCTTTTCTCTCATCGACTTTAACCGGACCTCATGGCTCTCTTTCTTATAGCTGACAGAAACTTAACGTTCTTTCTGGGGTCCTCCATGCTCACAACTGAGCCATGCTCTCCCTTGGTCTGTGCTTGTGATTTTTCCATGATTTTCGAAGAATGGTGGCATCAAAGGAAGGGGAGGCAGGTGTTCCTGTTGAAATGTGATCTCTCCTGTCTGCATCTGGTTGGCCTCTTGGGGGTTCCGAGCATCGCAGCCCATCTTTCCAGGAACTAGAAGGTGTGTGAGCCCTGATTCCCTTTTCATTCAGGACCTGTTTTTTTCTGTTTTTCCATCCCAAATCCCGAGTCCCCAAAGCCAGCAGTCCTTTCTTAATTCTGTCCCCAGGCTTCTTGCTGTGAGTTTTCATTTGTCGCTGGATTCTTCCCTGACCCCAGGGATCAGGCTTTGGAGGGAAGCCCCTGGGAAACCAGGCAGGTCATTCCTGCTGTTTATTGTCACACCCCTCCTAAACTGATGGAGAGTGAGCAGATTGTGGTTACGAATGAATAAAAAGAGAGAAATGGGAGAGACAAAAAACACTTTAACTAATACTTCAAAATATAGCCCAAAGCATAGGTTCATTGTGGGTGTTGTGTCAGTTCTGGTCCTGTGAAAATGTTATGTACTATGCAAAACAGACCTGAGTTGAGTTTTATTCTGGGTCTCTTGATGACACCAGGGTCTAGAGAGACTTAGCAGTGGCTTGCACAAAGCCGTCCCCTTATAGTTGTGCTGTGCATCAGTGTCAGGGCAGGACCACAGGGTTTGTCATCTAAGGCAAGTCTGGCCTCAGAGGAAGATTCAGCCGGCAGCTCTGCCAGTTAAATAGCCTTGCAGCTCTGGGCACATCTCTTATTGATCTGGGCATGGGTTTCTGCACCAGCAAACTAATAATGTTGAGCTAGAGTCTCAGGTCCCAGGTTCTGAGAAGATTAACAGTGCAGACCCAAATGGCTTCAATATTTCTTCATAGATTAGAGGGTCTGTGGCTTCAAACTTCCCTTTAAATTCCAGTCACCAGAGCAGATTCTCCGAATACCTCCATACTCAACCCTCCACCCAGAAAGTGGAGCTCAGAAGGTCTTTGCATAGCTAGAAAGAGTATTCCTAGACTCACCCCTGATTGTGCAAATCTGCATCTGAATCTCTGCAGATATGACCCAAATGTGGTTTTTAGACTACACTTAAGGTGATGTAGATTGTATCTGGTGTTACTGAAGGATGTGAGGGACAGTAAGAGCTCAGCTATGGGAGAGAAGAAGACAATGCATGCTAGAAAATATGCTGGTTTGAATGAGAATGGTCCCTATGGGTTTATATATTTGAATGTTTGGGCCCCAGTTGATGAACTACTTGGGAAGGCGTAGGTGTGTCACTGGAAGTAGGCTATTATGGAATTATTAGTTTAAGATGTGTTACATTTATTTATGCTGGGGGATATTTGTCTAATGATGCAAAGATGTGTTGCATTCTTTTGTGTTGCATTTGTTTAATTCTGTGAGGCTGTGTTGCAGTGCCTGTCTAAAACACCTGATTGGTCTAATAGAGAGATGAACTGCCAATAGCTAGGCAGGTGGAAGACTGACCCAGGAGGGGGTGACTGCTCACGAAGGGACTGTTTGGTCAGGCACAAGTCCTAACACAGATTCTTCATGTCTCTGCTTCTCATGTTGAAGGTAGCAAGGTGTGTAATGGACAATATAAGTCCTCCAGGGTGGCAAAGGTTCACAGGCCTCTTGTTTCTCTGTTACATGAGAGTTAAATAAAGTCCACAAGAGTTAAATAAAGCCCAGCACTGCCCAAGCTCTCCTCATCTTTCCTTCCTTCTTTCCTTCTTTCCTTCCCTCCTTCCTTCCTTTCTCTGTCTCTAGGATTTTATTGTGTGTATGTGTACATGGTGTGTGTGTGTGTGTGTGTGTGTGTGTACACATGAGCACAGGCACCTTCAGAGGTCAGAAGAGGGTGTCAGATCCCCCAGAGCTGAAGTTGTGAGCTGTCAGACATGGGTGCTGGGAACCAAACTTGGATAATCTGCATGAGCGGTATGGTCTCTTAACCACTGAATCATCTCCATAGCCCATCTTCTTTCTTACAGGGGGCATTTTAACGAAACCAGAGCCCCCTGCTTCCCCAACAGCTCAACCAATGAATCAGAGAACAGTCAGCAAAGAGCCAGGCGAGCCGTTGAATTACTCACCCACCACACACATACTTCATGGATCCCCAGCTACTAACCATATACAAAGGGAGTCCATTCTGGTCCTTAATGGGCATGCTATGCAAATACTGACTGTCTGGACTCCACCACCTCTACCTGGGAGACAGTCGTCAGTACTGATGGTCCCGTGGGAGTATCTAGGTTGCAGCCGTTCATAACAGCTCGGGCAGAGAAACGTCAGTTTCTGAGTTTC